GAAAGACCACATCTCTGGAAATGAAAAAGGTTTTGGAAGATATGTCATATAGCTTATAGCCAGGGGCATAGCCGACAAACACATATGGTTTGGCTCTTGGGTGAAACTTGGACCTATGAGAGGGTAATGTTGAAGCAAAACACAGGGACCCAAAAACTCTCAGATTTGTGTAATCTACTGGTAGGTCGTAAAGAAGAGAAAATGGTGTTTTATTATTCAAAATGGGAGAGGGTGTTCGATTTATAAGGAAGGTGGGTGTAAGAACACACTCTCCCCAGAATTGAATTGGGACTTGTGATTGAAAATACAATGACCTAGCCACATTTAGGAGGTGTTGGTGTTGCCTTTCTACCACTGAATTTTGTTCAGGTCTGTCAACACATGAAAATTGATGGATAACTCCCTTTGAAGCAAAGAAATCCACAAATTTTAGTTCTGGTGCATTATCAGATCTAAAGGTTTTAATTATCTTCTGGAATTGTGCTTCAACCATCTTGAAAAACTTAGGAATAATGAACTCAACGTCTGATTTTTTGCTTCATGAGATATATCCATGTGAACCGTGTGCAATCATATACCAAAGTGAGAAAATATCTGTGGCCTGCATGAGTTGGGGCATGATATGGTCCCTAAGTATCGCAGTGAACAAGGTCAAATGCATTTTAGGATAGATGGTTATTTGACACAAATGATAATCTTCTTTGCTTTCCTAAGGGGCAGATGTTGTAGGGAATAGGGACGGAGCCAAGATTTATGTTCAGTGCGGGCATCATTTTTCGACGCCGAACTTCGAGGTTTTGGTCATAGATTTAATGATGATAAAAAATTAAAACAATATTACAACGACACTAAAAACGACATAATTTATATATTAAACTTGTTCCTTGCGAGTTTTCATATTTTGATATCGTCGTACAATAACTTCATTATCGAGTTTCAAAAATATATCTCTCTCTACATAAACAATAGTGCTATCATTCATCCACTGATCACCCATCCGATTGCGCAATCTATTCTTTACGATGTTTATTGCAGAAAAACTCTCTCCACAGTAGCGGTAGCAACCGGTAAAATCAATGCTAAAGTCAAAAGTCTGTAAACCAATGGATATACCTTATCTTTCTTTGTCAAAACCAACTTCTCCGCAAGATCACCAAGGCCATTCAACCCTTCAAACTCTTTGTTAGAGCGCATGTCCAAAATATAAGTCTCAAGTTGATCGCTAAGTACAATGCCATCTTCTGTAGAGAAATCTAATGGATAAAGCTCAGCAAGTCTAATTAAGCTTTTCTTGTCAAAAGAAGAAAATGAATCTTGTGGGCATAAACAAGCTACACAAAGAAGTAACTCTGTATTTACCTCCGAGAAACAATCATTCAATTCTAGAATAAATTCGATGACAGAGTAGAACAAATCTACTCGATAATGATGTAAATTTGTAATTTCTGGAGAATTACGCTGAGGGCAACCACGAATTGCAAGGCATACAAACATATCATCCATGTTGGGTACATGAATGTAATGTTGTTGACAAAAAGAACACACTTCTTCAAAAAAGGAGACCCACCCTTCGTCTCTCATTATTTGGAGTAGTCGTTTGCACAATCTCACCAATTGCATTGCATTCACAATATCTTGATCTTTTCTTTGCAATGCCTTTGACAGTTCATTTGACATCCCCAACACACTTTTCATCAACTGTAGATTAAATACAAAATCAAATCTTTGTATCAACTCCAATAAATTTGTTGCATCAGATCTTTGATCACAAGAACAAGATTTATCTTCAACAATCATTGCAAGTACATCTTAAATAGAGGAGAACATGGCAAGCAAGCTGACCAAAGAATTATAATGTGAACTCCATCGTGTATCACCAGAGCGCTGAAGGGTCGTTTATTGATTAAGTCCCCGTCCACTTAAAATCTCACCTTTTTCCAATGCCTCAACAATAAAGTCTAATTGTTTTTCTCGAAGAAGATCACAACGCTTGGAAGATGCTCCAACAGTATTTATCACGTTCCCAACCACACGAAAGAAATTAGTAATAGGGATGTTCTTCTTTGCCACAGCCACAAGCGCAAGTTGGAGTTGATGAGCAAAACAGTGAATGTAAAAGGCACATGGACTCTCCTTCAAAATGAGTGTTTTTAGATCATTAAAGTTACCTTGCATATTACTTGCTCCATCATAACCTTGTCCTCTCAATCTAGACATACTCAAGTTATATCTAGAAAATACCTTATC